ACTAATATCCTACCAATTATTCTCTCATTATTATGATGTAATTTCCTGTTTTACATTTTAATCTTTTTCGCTTAAATCAGATTGATTGCCTCACACAAATTGTGGTGAGATTTATCACATCTTACATGGTATCAGGTTACGTACAATTCCAAACCCTAGCCTCCAAACCCTTGTGCCGTCATTAGCCTTGTTTGCGTGCGTCTTTTCTCTCCTCCCCTCTGCCACCACGGTCGTACATTCTCCCCCAACCATGCAATCGTCCAATTCTGTTTGCGGTCCTCTCATGGCTGACGATACCACTCCTCTGTCTCTGCCATTTGCTACCTTGGTTCACATGATCACCATTTAGCTTAACTCTGAGAATTTTCTTCTCTGGCGTAAACAGGTTACTTCTCTTCTTCAAAATCAGAATTTGTTTCACATTGTTGATGGTTTTGTTGAACCACCATCGCAGATCCTCGATTCTGTTCCAAATCCTCGACTCGCTCAATGGCAAGCTCAAGATCGAAATGTCACCAGTCTCCTACTTTCTTCCTTGACCGAGGAGGCCCTCTCTGAGACACTCAGTGCTGAAACTGCTTGGGATATTTGGAATGCTCTGCATACTGCATATGCTTCACGCAGCAAGGCTCGTGAACTGCGCTTCTGTGACGAGCTTCAACTCATGCGTCGTGGTTCTATCTCTATGACAGAATATGGAAAGAAATTTCGCACTATTTGTGATCAGTTAGCTGCTATTGGTGCTTCTATTGCTAATGATGACAAACTACACTGGTTCCTTCATGGTCTTGGTCCCTCCTATGAAAATTTTTCCACGGGTCAGCTTGATTAGGTACCTTTGCCTCGATTTACTGATATTCTTTGTAAGGTCGAAAGCCATGCTATTTTTCAGGCATCTCTTGAGGAATCAACGCCCTCTCAGCCTGCTGCCTTCTATGCGAACAATCAACCTCGCTCATCTGGAAATCAGTCATCTCGTAGTGGTAACCGTGGACATTCCAATGATGGTTCTAATGGTGGTAACCGTGGCAATTCTAATGGTGGTTTTCGTCAACGTCGCAACAACTTTGGGCGTCGCAACTCTTATGTCCCTCGATGTCAGATTTGTCGTGAACAGGGTCATTATGCTAACAAATGTCCGGTTTGCTAGGACCGATCTTCTGAGTCTGCTAATTTGGCTCAGGCATTTGCTGCCAGTTGCTTGTTGGACACCTCAAACAAGTCAGATTGGTATATGGACACCAGTGCCACATCTCACATGACACCTTCTTCGTCTCAGTTGACTGATTCCCAAAATTATAATGGTACTGATCGTGTTTTTGTGGGTAATGTGACCTCTTTAATTATTACTCATTTTGGTTCTCGTTCTTTATCACATACTATTCCTTTGTCAGATGTTTTAGTTGTGCCTCATCTAACTAAAAATCTTGTATATGTTAGCAAACTGACTCGTGATAATCATGCTAAAGCCATTTTAGTGGATGACTCCTTTGTTATTCAGAATCGAAAGACTGGCAGAGTTTTGGCAAGGGGACGATGTGATCAAGGACTTTATGTGATGGATCAAGGACCACAAGCGTTGCTTACTACTAGTTCTTCACTGCCTCGTGCCTCTTTTGAACTTTGGCACTCTCGTTTGGGACATGTTAATTTTGATGTTATTAATAAGTTGAATCAGCAAGGTTATTTAAATGTTTCGTCTATTTTGCCTAAGCCAATCTGTTGCACTACTTGTCAGATGGCTAAGAGTAAACATTTGGTTTTTTTATGACAATAATAAAAGGGCTTCTGCCGTTCTTAATCTTATTCATTGTGATTTATGGGGACCATCTCCAGTTGCTTCTATTGTTGGATATTCTTACTTTGTTATTTGTGTGGATGATTTCTCTCGCTTTACATGGTTTTATCCATTACGACATAAATTAGATTTTTATGATGTGCTTGTTCGGTTCAAAGTTTTTGTGGAAAACCAATTTTCTCGATTTATTAAAGTTTTCCAAAGTGACAATGGCACCGAGTTCACGAATAACAAAGTACAAGATTTATTTGCTTCTTCTGGTGTGCTTCATCGGTTCTCATGCCCGCATACTCAAGCATAGAATGGTCGGGTTGAACGGAAACATAGACATGCTCTTGAGATTGGTCTTGCAATGTTGTATCAGTCACATGTTCCTACCAATTATTGGGTTGATGCTTTTAGTTCTGCGGTATATATTATTAATTGTGTTCCCTCTCAGGTGCTTTTACATTGTAATCTTTTTCTCTTAAATCAGATTGATTACCTCACACAAATTGTGGTGAGATTTATCACATCTTACACTTCTTCACAATAATTTGCGTATCTTACTTTTTCCTTTCAAAATATAAAATAGAGAAAATACAAAAATAATACTAAAAACTTTACAAGGGAGAGAGAAATACCTCATTAGCGACACAAGAGAATAATGTTTAAATGTAAAGATGGAAAGGTGAATATTTTGCAATTGTGCCTTATGCCTTATAAAATCCCACAATTGTTCCTTAGTGTTTAGATTTGGATCACAGGTCGAAGGCATCAATCAAGAGGAAGAGGTTGATGTCAATATTACACTTGACTTATGTGAAGGCAGTAGAAGAGAGAAAAATAGGGGGTCGTAGTGGTAGGGCCATCAATCTGCTTGGTAAGAGGAAGAGGAAAAAACAATACTTGAAAGTAAATTTGTAATTAGGTTTTCAAAAGTGAATTTATGGGTAAGTTTACATAGATGGATATATATTAGAATAAGAAAGAGATTATAGAATGATATTTTAACATTTTTACTGACATGTAAATATCCAAGATTTATTTTAAAAATGATTTTTCATTGTAATTCAAAGTAATAAATAGATAAATATATATATTTGATGGCTAAATGTCATCGTTCATGAAGTAATTTTTCATTGAATACGAAATTTAGGAATTAAGTTTTTTAATTAATGTGATTTTTCCTTCTTATTTATATTAAGAACATAATAGTATATATAATAAGTTGTAAAAAAAGTGAATCATGTACTGTTTTAGTCTTTGAAACGGTCTGTGTTATCCAAATTGATATTTAAAAATGTTAACTTAAATGAATATGAAAAATTAGGGTGTATTTAGTTTTAGAAAATATATTTTTTTATTTCGATTTTTAGAAAACCAGTTTTATTTTCTAATTTTAAAATATAAAAAATATATTTGGTTTGACCATTTTCAATAAAAGTTCATGAAATATTTTTTTTGTATAAAACTTACAATCAAAATTACTCTCTCTATATATGAATTACAATAATATTTTATTTTGTATATATTTTACTCTTTCCACTCTATCTTATATTTATTTTTATTTGAATACTTTTTTCTCATATAGGTGAATTTCACTTTGAAAATGTTCAAATGTCTATTATATTTTTTTAGTTGTATCAAATGAAAAAAAATTTATCTAACAAACAGTAGTTGTATATCAAAATAATATTATATATATATATATTAATCATAAATATATATA